CCTGAGACTCTGAACAATACTCTCAGGGACCCCAGCTGATAAATAATTGTCTGCCTTGGCTGATGACTACGCTGCCGTGAGCATTTAACAGTGTTGTCAATCATTTCTGCTGCTGGAAAAAAATCACTGTGTTTTTCTCTTCCTTTAAGGGGAGAGGAAGAAACAGTACTTGGGCAGTTCAGTTAGTCTGTGGGCATAAGAAAAGAAATCATTCCTTGTTCCTTGCAAACTTTGATTTACAAAAGAATGCTGGAAGCTAAAAGCCTTGATTTATCACATGAAGCAAAGAGTAATTTTTCTCTCCCCGTTAGGCTTTCATATAATCATGCTTGCTGCCTGTATGGACGGCATTAAAGAATTTCTGAATAAAAATAATAATGTCTTGCTTTCAACCTTCATAATTCACATCAGCAAACACCATGCTGGGTGGCAATGCCTGCTGCCAGGGACGCTCAATCTTTCTTTGCACGCCACTTATCTGCCCGGCACAGCTGCTGCTCCATTGATCACGGTACCTGCAGGATAACGTGCCCGTAGGCGTTCTTCAGCAGATTAACCACGTCCGCGTGAGACAGCCCTTCCAGAGGTTGCCCATTAATGCTGACAATCCGATCTCCCACCTGGAAGTACAAAAGTGGCAGAAAATCACTATCATTAAGAAAAATTAAATTTGAGAAGAATGCTTACAATCCTTTGTGAGTCATATTCCCCATTTGTGGAGATTCTGTGCTTCTACGGCGTCTGCGTGTTTGAGAAGCATGAGGAATGTCTTTGGCTTTCCCCAAATGCAGACCGGTCAGAGAAACGAGAAGGGGGTCAGGCGTGATTATTAAAAGGCACAGCAGGCCACTTTTGTGTTCCAGGAACGGTGGGGTTTCATACAGCCACTCGCCAGTAATAGCGGGGTGCAGAAATTAACTGTTCAATAAAGCTCTCACGGAGGAAGCCAAATATTTTCTGCTTTATTTTTCTACTTAAGATTAAGGGCAGTGGGAAAAACAAAATTGTAAGAATGTGGATTCTTTTGGTTGAGGGAAGACCGTAAGGTCAAATCTCAGTTGAAAACCATTCCGGGTGGAATGAGGTGCTTATAAGGGTTTGCAAAGGAGCTGGAATTTCGTCTTTCATTGAGAAGCTTTGATAATATTTTTATATGCCCAGGGACCTAATGAATTTCAGGTATAAAGTTTCTCTAATGCATTTTGCCCTTGGCAGGGGTCTCTGGTGGCTATTGCAATTCCAGCTTTAAACAAGGTGCCCAGGGCTGCAAGTTCCCTTCCCACCGGCCACATGCTGTGAGCGTGTGAGCGAGTGTGTCAGCCCGCCCTCCTTTGTTTACTTTAAGCTTCTGTGTCCGTGCAGCCACTCCACTGGCCTGAATCATGGCAATAAAAACAGGGATATCTCCTAAGGGACTTCCTTTTCCTCCAGCAATACTGATTCCCAGGGCATCGCCCAGCTCCTGAAAGAGAAAGAAAACATAATGCTTGTATATTTCATAAAGAGCCACAACCTGATTGTCCCCAGATGGCTGCTGAACGAAACCCCTCTAAGATGCAGGAGGTCAGGATAACACTGGAGTTAGAGGAACATGGGGCCTCTGGCGTCTCAAAGTCCTGTAATTTCCACTGTAGCATTTAATTAGCTGTGGGTACTTGGGAAGTTACTTAACTTGGTGAAAGTTGTCACAGTCAAACCAAGTCCCTTGTGTTAAAAAAACAAAACAAAATCTTGACAAATGAAGCCAGGCAAAGCTATGATGAGAGGGGTTTCATGCTTGTTTGCCTGATAAGAAAAACTATCACAAAGGAAGTCAAAAGCCACAGCCTTGCACAGAGGCCATGCAACCTAAAACAAAACAGTAATAGTAACTTCTGCAAGACCATCTGTCCAGCAACCGCCTGTCCAAACTTGAACTGGTGTCAATCTTGTTA